CAAGTTTTGGGGCCTTGCAGCTCTGTCACCAGAATCGGAAGGAGGGGGACTGGCAGCAGAAGTAGCAGCCACCGGGGCCACTGGGGGGAGCAGTCAGACAAGAGTGTGTTGGGGGAACGAGGGAGGGAGGGAGGGGCACCTCAAGGGGGCTTCATGAAGACAGCTTGACTTGCAACTCAAACGAAAGAGGGGAGGGGGAGCAAGGCCGGAGCAGCTTCTGCCATAGCCAGGGGGGTGGGTTAGGGGGGCGCATAAGTAAACAGAGGGCTGGTGTGTTGCTGGAACTGGAGCGTCATGGGAGGGAAAGGTGGGCAAATGGCATGGGCTTGGGGGTTGGAACTGTGACCCGTCCGTGGGAGGGAAGGGTGGGCAAATGGCATGGGCTTGGGGGTTGGAATTGTGACCCGTCGTGGGAGGGAAGGGTGGGCAAATGGCATGGGCTTGGGGGTTGGAATTGTGACCCGTCGTGGGAGGGAAGGGTGGGCAAATGGCATGGGCTTGGGGGTTGGAACTGTGACCCGTCGTCGTGGGAGGGAAGGGTGGGCAAATGGCATGGGCTTGGGGGTTGGACCTGGAGTGTCGTGGGAGGGAAGGGTGGGCAAATGGCATGGGCTTGGGGGTTGGAACTGTGACCCGTCGTCGTGGGAGGGAAGGGTGGGTAGAAGCCACACTGGTCTTGCTGTTTGCCTGTGCGCTCCCCTAACCCAACCCCCTGGCTATGGCAGAAGCTGCTCCGGCCTTGCTCCCCCTCCCCTCTTTCGTTTGAGTTGCAAGTCAAGCTGTCTTCATGAAGCCCCCTTGAGGTGCCCCTCCCTCCCTCCCTTGTTCCCCCAACACACTCTTATCTGACTGCCCCCCCCAGTGGCCCCGGTGGCTGCTACTTCTGCTGCCAGTCCCCCTCCTTCTGATTCTGGTGACAGAGCTGCAAGACCCCAAAACTTACAGAGCAGCCACAGCACTTTAAAAAATCTTGCATCACAGCTACCCCCCCCCCCCAGCCCCTGGGGTTGCTCATCGCACGCTGCCCCCACAGCCCCATGGCTGGGGGCTATTTGTCCCATACAACGAAAGACCCAGGACAGACGGTATCTGGGTGAATTGGCCGGACCGAAGGGCAACGGGCAGAGGGCCAAGGGCCCACTGGCCATGGAGAATGGCTGCAGGAGGGCAGCGGAGGACGAAAGCTGCCTGTAAATGGGCTGAGGTGAGGGGCCGGGGGCAAAGGAGGTGCGGCCAAGGGTCCACACCTAAGCATCCCATTCCCTTCCTGATGGGGCCTTTCAGTCCCTGAGTTACCACTCTGAAACTCACACTGAATGAGTAGGCCCAGCTCCTTCAGACTCTGAACACACACTCTGTGAGACTCACCATGGAAGGGACACCCCTTCAGTCCCTGGGTGAGCAGCCAGGGCGAATCACACTGGAGGAGTCAACAACGCTCAAGCCTCCTCCAGTGCCCTAGCTGAGTCTCAAGCTGGAAGGGAATGCTTTTGAATCGCTTCCCTGAGAAATAATGTCAGCTGCATCCAGATCTCTTAGAACCAAAAGTAAACCCGGTGACGCAGTTTGACATGAGATATTGCCATCTCAATAAATTAATAACTAGCTTTTTGCTAGGGTGAGACATTATGTCCTCGAACTGGAAAATAAATCTGTGTGACCCTTTTAAATTCTAGATGTGGCCATTGAAACCCTGAGTAGATTTCTTGCCTGGCTTAATTGAGGCACGATGGTCGTTCTTAGAACCAGAAAGCATCTCAATGGCCCTTTTTAATGCTGGGTGTGCCGGTGATTGATAATAGATTTTAGTTTTCTGCCTGGTGTAAAGTTAGCCATGGCGATGGTTCTTAGAACCAGGAAGAAAACCTCAACGGCCCTTTTAAATGATCAATGTATGGCCAGTGCTTAGTAATAAATTTTATAGTTTTCTGCCTGGCGTAAAGTTAGCCATGGCGATGGTTCTTAGATCCAGGAAGAAAACCTCAACGGCCCTTTTAAATGACCAGTGTGGCCAGTGGCTGTTGATGGGTTATAGATTTCATAGTTTTCTGCCTGGCATAAATTTAGCCCTGGCGATGGTTCTTAGAACCAAAATTAAAGCCTCATTGGCCACTCTTAAATGACCAATATGGCCAGTGCTTGGTAATGGATTTTATAGTTTTCTGCCTGGCATAAATTTAATCCTGGCAGTGGTTCTTAGAATCCGAAAGAAAATCTCAGTGGCCCTTTTTAATGTCTGGTGTGGCCAGTGATTGATAAAAGATTTCTATTTGGAATAATTTTATCCACGGCTGTTGTTTAAAATGTGTAAGTTATGTTTTGACTGATAAATGTTAAACATGACACACAGTATGGCGGTCACCTCAAGAATTTTGATTTTTTTTGTCACACACATTTGTCTTTTTGTTCCTGAAATTTCTGTTTGACATGTATTTTTTGTAATACAACTGAGTTTTACTCCTGATTTACTGTTGTTAAGTAGTTGTGATGCTTATGGTAGACAAGTTTTATCTTTCGCCTGTTTTTATGTATTCTTTCTTATCACCATCTCTTCACCAAGAGATAACTGTTGTGATATTTATGTATTTGAACACTGAAGTTGTGTTTTCTTTCTTCCGAGAAAAATCTTTTGATGACAACTATGGTTCCTTTTACACCTCACCTTTTGTCAAAAATGTCATTTTAAATTAGTGAACTATTTAACCCATGGTATTTTATCACTGCTTTTGTAATTTTTGTGTGATTTTTTTATCCTTAAAATATTGGATTATGCTTTTATGTATTTTATCTGTAAGACTGTATTATGTTTTGAATTGTTGTACAAACTGTTGCAACTGGGTAACGCTTGGAAGATATGATGCAGAACAATAAAGTATGTTTCGAGTCTTCCTTCACTACATTTGGGATCCTGCAGCAGGAGCTTGGACCTGTTGGGCACCTTGTGCTCCTGCCCTTTGCCGAAATCACTGAGGATCATCTTTTGTAAGGATTTGGGGGTTTGGTATATTTAGAAATGTCCTGTTCTACCAAAATAAACTTCCAATGAATTTTTTTGTGCTTTACATAACTTTTTAGGTTTCTCTCTCTCTCCCTCCCTCCCTCCCCCCCCCTCTCTCTCCCTCTCTCATCTATTATCTATCTCACCTATTAATCATCTATATCAAACATCCCAAACACAAGGCCCGGGGGCTGGATGCGGCCCACAAAGTGGTTTCATGTGGCCCGCGAAGCCATCCTGGAAACAGTGAGGGAACGGCCCCCTCTGCCTTGGCCCTGGCCCAGGCCGGCTGGGAGCCAATGTACAATTTTGTGGTGGCCATCTTGGCACTTGCCCCAGTGGACCATGCCTTGGCACTTGCCCCAGTCCCACCCCCTTCTGCCAGAGACCCTCAGATCTGTCCCGCAGGCACCCTTGACGCGACTGGTTAGAACTGGCCACGCCCACCCAGTAGGCCACACCCACTCCATCCATGCCCACCCAGTAGGCTGCACCCACTCTGGCCACACACCTCCCCCAGAGAAACCGCAATGCTGATGCGGCCCTCAGCGAAATTGAGTCTGACACTCCTGATCTTTATTTAATCTATCCAGTAACCTTTTCTGCTGTACCTTAGGGGGAAAAAATGTCATGGGCTTACCTGGCCACAGGAGGGCAGCATTCCCTGTTTTGCCCTCCTCAGTGCCCTATTAGAAATGAAATTTTAGCTCCTGCAATTATCTTTTATATTCCATCCTCTGCTGTGGCTGCTTTGAGCTACCATCAAAGGAAGGAAATGAAAGAATAAAAATAAGCCACTCTGGGACTTCTTTGCCAAATGTTACTGCACACACTGGCCACAGGAGGGCAGGCTTTGCTGCTTTGACTAAACTCAGTTTTATAGGTGTTTGCTTATTATGTATATTCCTTTATCAAAGGTGTACTCTGAGTGCCGCTACGACACAGGTTGGCAACCTGCGGCTCTGGAGCCACATATGGCTCTTTGTGGCTTATTAATATTAATAAGGTTTTAATAATAAAGAATAATAATCTTAAAACGCCATTAAAGAGGTTTATTTATTTTTGTGGCTGCAGTATCTGATTTGACAGAGTTTTCCGTCCCTTGGCTATAGGATGGAGGCCATTAAAAAAAGCCTACCATGGACTCCACAAACTAAAGCTATGGCACGGAAAACTGTGCCCTCCTGTGGTCAAAAACACGTATTGCGGCTACCAAAAGAAATAAACCTTTTTAATGGCATTTTAACGGTATTAACACCTTATTAATAGGGCCAGGGGAGGTCCGTTTGCTGCAACACAGGCGCGGAAGAAAAAATCTGCTTCAAAAGCCTTCAACCTAGTTAAGGAGGACTATGATGCCCTATTAATATTAATAAGGTTTTAATAAAGAATAACCTTAAAATGCCATTGAAAAGTTTTTTAATGGCTGCTCTACTTGCTTCAACCACAGGATGGCACTGTTTTTTGACCCTTAATAGCATTCAATAGCTGCAATAGCTAAATAATAATCTTAAAATCATATTAAAAGGGTTTATTTCTTTTTGTGGCTGCTATTCCTTCTTTAATCGTAGGACTCAATTCTTCCCAGAGGACTTGACCGCTTTAGTCTCAATAAATAACTTCCCCTCTCCCAGGAAACAGGCGATGGGAGCCTAAGCGGGCCTCCTGTGCACTTTCCTCACAACCAACCCAAGCAAAGCGGTTACCAACAGAATAAGAGACGTGGAGTTTCAGCTAGAACTTAACAGAATATCTCTCTGCAGCAAGAAAATGGGGTGTGTGGGGACCAGCAAGGTAGCTGAAATACCTGAGCTTTTCTAAGAGTAGAATAGCATTTTTTAGAGCCAGACTTAATATCCTCTCCTTGGCACTCCTGCAGGGCAGGAATGATAAAACCCCAAGACTGAGTGAAAGTGTACTTGTGGCAGTGGGGAAGTTGAAGATCTCTCTCACACGTGTGTCCTGTTAGTCCAAAGCCAAACATTAAAATCAAAACCTGTGATTTGGATCTGAAAAATATTTCCTTTAATTGTATGCATTGTACTGTGAGGAATTTGTGGGAATGGGGGGGGGGGCGGGGATTAGAGTCTAATGTTTCTGCTCCGTCCTTGCTCTTTATGTCAAACGCCCAGAAATGTGAGAAGGGGCTCCAGAAAAGGCCGTCAGTCTGTGGGTTCTAGGACTGACTCGCTCAGAGCCTAGATCCCAATAATGTTCAGTGCCGTGTTTCTTAAAATGCTCCCGTGCCGTTTTCAGTAGCACACTGCTTGAACTTCATCTCGCCAAAGCTCCGCTCCTTTGCCGTGCCCTAGAAGGACACAGAGAGAGGCAGGAGAGATTCTGAGCCAGCCTACATATGGAGGATTGCATTGCGTGGATTGGAAGCTCGCGTAGTGCAGATAATTCCTCTTTCCTTGCCCGTGGCTTACTGGTGAAGCCCTGAGGGATTGGTTGAGCACAACATGCTAAAAACACAAACCGTGCTTTACAAGCCGTGGCTAGCTGAAGTAACCCTTAGAGTGAGTCCTGACATCTCCCACTTTTTGAATTAAAGAGGAGGGGTGCTCTGATGGGACAATTGTACAAAGCACCCACAGTTCAGTTCCTGAAGGTGTTTCTCTGTCCTGTCACTAAGGGGGCATAATAAAAACCAGGACTTTCTTAGTGACACTGGAAATCACCAAATGCCTCAGTTAGACCATAAATACTACTCACCTCCCAAGCCAGGGAACATTTGTTGGTTTTTTTTCACAGATTCCTCATCATCTGCAAGAAAAATAAACTGCTTAGGGTGTAAGAATGGGGAAACAACTGAAGATGGATTTATTTGTCTATTCAAAAGTACATTCAAGATCGGTCAGATCGGAAACATCCTTTATTCAAACAGAAGGTGAGAATTCTGCCCTTCCTTTAGAAAAGGCAGGACATAGACCTCTGCAAGCTCAGTAGCTCATGAAAAGAAGCGAACTTTTGGCAATAGTAAAAGACCAGTTCATAAAGCCATCCAAGTTCCCTTCAGTTGCCCCCAACTTCCTTCTAGTCTTTCAATTTCAGAACCAGCTCGATGTAAAAGAGGGCTGCCCCTTTCCAGGTCATTTGATTACTTTAAAACTGCTATAAGTCCATTGTCTTCTTAGAAGAACCGAGACCAATGGTGAAATAGATTCATACAAATCTATTCAATAGAAAACAATACAACAACTGGCACTGATAGCTGATAGAACAACAACTGGCACTCAAAGCTCCATCTTCAGTGTGTTCCCAACCAGGGAACTTCTCTGCTTCTCCAGGCCCTTTTGAAGGAAGCCTGGGCGCAGGAGGTCCAACGTTTGCCTGCAACCCCCAAAAGAAGAAATGGCACTGGGCGCTTTTCTGTCTGTTCTACATCTTTGGAAGACGATGCTGGGAGTGGGGCCTGCAGCGTACTGCCTCCAGAATCGGTCACTTTTCTTAGTGACGCTATTTCTGTGACCTGTTCTGCAGATGGGCAGAGTTGGAAGAACCAGCGGGTCCCTGAGCCAGGTACAGCCTTTCTGGATCCTGACCTCGCTTCCTCCCCTCCCCCCCCCCGTTCCAGTGGGGCCCTTGCCAGAGCTTACAAGATGTGCTTCCAGCGCATCACCCTGCGGAGTCGTTTATTTCTCAGTTTCAGCATTTTGGTAGCCCACAGTCAATCGCTTTTATTGACTTAATCATTTCTTGATAAGCATTTCCAGGCTGGCCCTGAGCAGAAGTGCACTTTCTTACCGTCTCCTTTTGTGTTTGACGTCTGCTCATCCCATTTTATTCGATGTAACGTGAGCCGCTTAAATTTCTTCTGTGCTTTGGGACCTTGGAAAGAAAGCAGAAAAGGTAGAACTGACAAGCAGCATCGCAACAAGTGATGAAGCACAGCTTCACAAACACAACAACCGGGAGAAGGTCCCAACCATAAACTGAGAACGACTCTCAAAGGAAAAGCCAGAAAGACGAGGTCCTTCTGCTGCTTTTCAAAACACATGTTTCTGAAGACTTGGCCTACCCTGACATAATGGTCTGAAATCGGTTTTGTTTACTCCAGGTTGTGCCAAGTGATGCTATTTCTGCAACCAGTTTTGCAGATGGACAGATGTGTTCTGCATTCTTCCCCCCCCCCTCCGCCCCACAAAAAACAGGCTGGAAGAACCGTCGGTGCCTCGAGACAAGTGCAGCCTTCCTGAACCTCCAACCCTGCATTTTCCCCCTCCTCCTTCTGGAACGAGGCAGGTTCTGGACCAAGTCCCCACATTGCCTGAGCCTGCTGGAAGTTTCAGCCCCTTAGAAAGGCAAAGTGTGATACAACCCGGCCCGCTTGCCCATCTCCTTACCTCCTTCTACCACCACCACAGGACAGGAAGTCGGCCGTACTGGGAAGGACGTCGTCAAAGGCACCGGGGGACGACCGCAGCGAACGGACGGGAGAAGTTCCCAGAGGATGGGCTCCAGCACGAGTCCAAAAGCTCAGAAGTCTAAATTTCTGGTCCTAGTGACCGACTGGATTCTGCCACATTATCCTGGGACATGTATATTTGCCTTCATTTTTAACAAATGTTAATCGATTAAATTACATAAGGCAAAATGTGCTTCAAGTTTTGCTACCATTAGATGGGTAAGAAGCAGGTTGAAAGTCATACCTAATGTATGGACAACATCCAGCTGGGAGTAAATGAAATAGACCAGGGGTCCACAGCCCTTGTCCGCGGCCCAGTACCTGATCATGACCCATTCAGAACTGGGCCACGCAAGTGACAGGCGAGTGTGCACATGCGCACTCATGCAAGTGGTAGGCACGCTTGCCTGCAAAGCTCCATTTGCTTGAGTGGAGGGTGCACGCGCATGCTATTTGCACAAATGGAGCTGCATGCACGAATCTGTGGCTCACATAGAGCCATCCCCTCTCCACTACCCCCCGCCAACCCACCAAGCTGGAAAGGTAGATAGGTATACTATTCCATTTAAGACTGCTCTTCAACACATTCATATTTATTTATTAAATTAGGATGATAACAATATTATTTACCAAATTTCCAAATGATACAAAGTTGATGGAGGAAAAGCAACCATTTTGAAGCACAGTAGGTCCTTGACACATTGGAATGACGGGCTGAAGTCAATAAGAAGAATTTCAACAAAAAGTAAGGCAAAATCCTACATTCAAAGGCCTGTGTGAAACAGGGCACAGTTAAGGATTTGAGCAAACAAGGGGAACAGGAGCCTGTGGGAAAAGCAACGCCATCCTACTACATTGCCTCAACATCAGCAGAGGGCCAGACTCAGAGAAATCCTCATTCTTTTCTGTTCTATGCTGGTTACAGCAACCTTAGGGAACAGGTAATCCTCAGATTAGGACCAATTGGGACCAGGATTACTATCACTAAACCACACAGTTGTAAAGTGTGACATCACATGAACACATTGCTTAGCGACAGAAATTCCAGCCCTTCCAGTTATTATTGCCAAATGAGAACCTCACCATCACCATGACTGCTGAACTCCATCTGGCTTCCTCGGTGACTGTTTGGGGGAAGCCAGTTGCTGAACGAACAGACTGAAACCCCCCCAACCCAGGCCTACCTGTACTGCCTCCCCCGCCCCCAGGAAGCGCACGAGGAAAGCAGAAATCCGGAGAGGCTGAGTCGCCCAGCCGGGGGAGAGACGGGCCGCCAGGTGGGCAGCGAGGCTCGCACGGCTGCCCCAGGGACAGGGCAGGGGGACGGGGCATTGAATGGGGGAAGGAGGGGGCCCACTCACAGCTGTTGCTCAAAGGGGGACCCGTGCGGGGCGGGGGAGATCAGAGCTTCCTTCCGCGACCCCAACGGGAGCATCGGGAACTGAAACCCGTGACAGGAAACAAGGTGGCGGGAGGCCCGTGGGGGGCGCGCACGAACCGACCCCGAAGTAAAAGCGCAGCGGCCGCCTCCTCGGTAAGGCTTGCGGGAGGCGCCGACTGCGGAAGAAGCGTCCGGCGGAGCTTCGGGTGCGCTCGTGCTTTTCCGGCGGCGGCGGCGGCGGCGGCCGAAGCCGGAGGGACGCGCCGTGCGCAATGAGGCGAGCGCGCACGCCCGGCCCCGCCCCTTTGTCTGTGGAAAAGAGAAGAGAAAAAACTTTTTTTTTTTAATTGAGGAATCAACAGCCGCCATCTTGTCGCGGAGCCGGAGCGCGTCGCGGGCGGGAGCCGGGCCGGGCCAGGGCGGGAGCCGGGCCGTAGAGAAGCCGCCGCAGGGCCGCTGACGCCGTCCGGGCAGGCCCTTTCGCGCCTCGGCCGCCCGATCCCTCCAGGAGGCGCTGCCAGCACCGCGGGCCGCTGTCCGCCTGGTCCGGTCCGGTCCGGTCCAGCGGCGTGAGCCCCGCCGTGCCTGCTCCTCGTGGGGACGTTCGGCCCCGAAGGCACGGCGGGCCGGCGAAGGACGGGGAGAACGGCGTCCGCTGCGACTGACCGCCCGCCCGCCTGACGGAGGGAGGAGGAGGAGGAGGAGAGAGGGAGGGGGCGCGGGCGCCATCCGGGCACTGCGCGAGGGGGAGGGGCGCCGGCGCGCTTCCGCCGCCGCCGCCGCCGGGGGTCCTGCCGCTGCCGTCCGCCGCGGCCGCCGAGATGGGGGTCGCGCAGCGGCGGGGGCGGGCGGCGGTGAAGCGCTGAGGAGGAGCGGAGGGCGGCCCGGCCTCTCGGCCAGCCCCGCCACGGCGGCGAGCGGGAGAAGGACGCGGAGGAGGCGGCGGCGGCGGCGGAGGAAGCCGCGGCCGGCAGAGCGCGGAGCCGCGGGGGAAACCGAGGCCGCAGCGGCGGGCGGCGGAGGCCATGGCGGAGAACTTGCTGGACGGGCCTCCCAACGCCAAGCGGGCCAAGCTCAGCTCGCCCGGCTTCTCCGCCTCCGACACCACAGGTGAGCCGAGGCTGCCGGCCCGGGCGGCCTGTCATGCGGGGAGGCCCTCGGCGTGCGCCGGGCCGCCCGGCGCTGGGCTTTTGTCCCGCCGCTGGTTACCCGAGCCCGCAGTGGCGGGTCCCGAAAGATCGGGCAAGAGGAACCGGGGCGGGGGAGGGGAGGGGCAGGGTGGGCTGGAAGGTGCCGCTCTACAAGGTCGCCGGCTTCCGTCAAGCAGGGTTCCCCGGGAGGCGCATCGGGCCGGGCAGAGGGGTTTTGATCGCCAGCCCCGGTCCTTCTTCGCCTTTCTCTTGGACGTCCCTTGGTGCTGAGCATGTCAAAATGCCCCCCCCCCCCCGTCGCCCGACGCTTCTTTACAAATGCCAAAACATTTCCATGATCTTCCGTTGTGAAATAAAATTATCTTCTGGTAGCATTAATGTTTGTTTAAGCGAGAATGCTTCCCGACTCCCAGCGATTCAGTTGAATAGGGCTTTTAGCTCATGAGGCCATCCTCCAAAGAGGCTTGTGAAGTTGTGGTTTGAGCGTTCAAAAGCCTCTTTCTTTGATGCAGAGTGATACAACGGAAACTCAGAGAGGTAGTGCTTGGCTGTAATGTGGCTTCAAAATTATTACATATTTCAGCAATTTCATGCATTATGTTATAGAAAGGCGAGAGATTCCTGCTTTACTTTTTTGACATTGCCCCATCTGTAAAATGCAGGGAGAGAGGCACTATAGAAAAGTCCCTTCCTCTTAGTCTCACTAGCTGCACTTTCTAAATGGGAGGGACCCTGCCTCCCTGTTGTGAGTTGGTAAAAAATAACAGGGAAAAGACAGTCCTTCAAATAAGCACAATACATACAATTCTGTGTTAGCAAAATTATATTAGGTGTATGTCTAATTTTGAAAACACTTTTTGATGTATATTACAGACTTGTTTGAAACATTTGTCACCTTCAGATTTAGATAACTTTAATATATATGTCTCATATTTTAATGTTCCTATCTGTATAATAGCTTGAATAAAATTTAAATGAAGAGTTGTTCAGGCCTAGATGTAAACTATTTGATTATCTGATTGTTAGTAAACTATAGTTTACTATTATGTTCAGACTGACTGCTGCGGTTTACAGGAAGCTTAGTAGTTAAGTTTTGAGAATGCGTTGCTAATTTTATATGGTAGATTTCCATAAACCATATGCAACAATTGTTTACTTTTGAAGCATTTCTTCCCCCATTCCAGTGTCCATAGACATAATCAGCATCCCAAAACATTTGTCTATGGAGGTTCTCAATCATCCAGGTGATGGTTGTGCCAAAACATGATTTTTTCAAACAGCAACTGGACTTTCTTGATTTTTCCTTGAAGATGTCTTCAAGATATTGAAACTTCTTCAAGAAAAATCAGGTAAGTCCAGTTGGCATTTGAAAAACGTGCCTTTTGGGACATCCCTAAACCATGTTATATGTGTACGTTTGAAAGTTCAAACTCATTTTAAGTTCTGAAGATGCTAGCTGTGCTAGTGCTGTGAGAATCTGAACCTTGAATGGTTTTCACACTTGAGCTTTTGCTTTGGGGTTTAGAGTTTAAACAAATTTACAATTTCCTTATGGCAGCACAACCTTTTATTGTTATTACAAATTTAGAAATCCACTGAACTAGCTGGTCCTGCTTGCATCTCTGTCAATTATATTATCATTTGAAATTTTCTAAACCGTGGTAATGCAGTTCACGTTCTTAGGTATTTTTCGGTTTATGGATTTCTGATTGTACAAATCATTTTCTAAATGTTTAATACTTTGTATATGAAAACAAATGATAAAAATGTTTTTTTATTTACTGACTTTGTTTAATTTCATTGCTTTTGCTTTATGCTATAGTGTGTTTTTGAAAGAAGTATTAATATATGGTGGTTTTTTTATTTTCTATGGCAACTGCCTCCATCAGTATGTTAAGTAGAAAAGCTATGCTGCACAACACTTGTTTTGTGTTCCTAAACTGTGTTCAGAAGTGATTTAACTGGGTATAAAGATTTTCTTTCTAACACAAACTTCTGTTAACTTTACAGATTTTGGAACTTTCTTTGATTTGGAAAATGATCTTCCTGATGAATTGATCCCCAACGGAGAGCTGAACCTTGTAAACAGCAGCGGAAACATTGTTCCAGATGCAGCTTCTAAACACAAACAACTTTCTGAACTTCTGAGGGGAGGCAGTGGCTCTTCTCTTAATCAAGGAATTGGGAATGTGAACTCCGGCAGCCCTGTCCAGCAGAGCATCAATAGCCAAGGCCAGGCACAAGCGAACAGTGTGAATATAGGCAACTTGAATGTGATGGGCAAGAGCCCATTAAACCAGGCAGACGCTGGTGTTTCAAGCCTGGCCAAACAAGCAGCCAGCACATCTGGGCCCAGTACCACAGCCACACCAGGCCTGAATTCTCAAGCACAGAAACAAGTGGGAATGGTGACAAGCAATCCAGCAACCTCCCAGACAGGTTCTGGGATATGTATGAACACTGGCTTCAACCAGGCTCATCCAGGTCTTCTCAACAATAACTCTGGCCACAGTTTAATGAATCAGAGCCAACAAGGACAAGGGCAGGTAATGAATGGTTCCCTTGGGACAACTGGAAGAGGCCGAGGTGCCGGATTGCAGTATTCTGTCCCCACCATACAGGGAAATGCAAGCAATGTGCTGGCAGAGACCTTGACGCAGGTGTCTCCTCAAATAACAGGGCACACAGGCCAGGCAGGAGCCATGGCAAAAGTATGTGGGGGTCACGTAAACTGGGGGATGGTTTGCAGCTTTATTCAAGTGCTTTGTGAAAGTTAAACTTAAAGGCATTTGCTTTTGCAGCTCTCCTTTAAATAACTAATTTTCAAAAGATATCAGAATAAGTGTAATTTAGTTGTTTGGGGTCTAGAGCAAAGGTGGCCAAATGCTACATAATATTTTGGGGAAGTAAAGCAAGAGCCACAAAATAATGGTTTGCATTCTTTGGTCTTGTAGGATTTTTTGTTTTGTTTTCTTCCTTGCTATTTGTATTGTTTAAAATCACATTGGTGTATAGTTGGACATATTTCAAGTCCACATGTTTTTTAAATTTCAGATTGGTATAAAGCTGTCTGAATTCTGCTGTTACATTGCCAAAATTTATCAGTGCAATCAGAGTGGGCTCTGGGTGTGTGTGTGTGTCACAAAGTAGTGAGGCATGGGAGGGGGCAGTGTGGCCTTTCCCTAGTTTAGAATAGTTGGCAGCTATTATTTGAGACTGGTGCTCAAATAATATAACTTTCCCAAGTATGGTGTTTCCCTGAAATGTTGAATTATATCTTTGACCTGGCTGCCTAAAGATAATGCTACAAATTGGAATTGGGAGAACATCTCTTTTTAAAAGCTGATGTTTTAATCAGGGCTACACTGATTTTTTTTAAAGACCACAAGAAGTAGTTGTTTTGAGTTCTGGCTATGGTGACATTGTTGCCATTCATCATTCACAATATCTGATCACTTTAATTTCTTGGAATGAAACAACATTTTCTGGCATTGTTGTATGCTGAATGTTTGGATTAGACACTTTGCTCTGTATTTATTTGTGACAATATTTTTCAGTTCAACATCAGCTGATTTATGAAACGATTGTAGAACCGTAAACCCTAGAAGGGGCTAGTACTCTTTGCAGGATCCACATTAAAGCATCTTTGCAGGATCCACATTAAGGCATCTCCAACAGATGGTTACCTAGTCTGTGCTTGAAGACACACGGTTGGATAGTCACCCCTTCTTTGGATAATTGGTTTCACTGTTGGATTGCTGTTGGGGTTAGGCCACAGGGGTAGGCAACCTTGGCTCTTTTATGACTCGTGGACTTCAACTCCCAGAATTCCTGAGCCAGCCATGCTGACTCAGGAATTCTGGGAGTTGAAGTCCACGAGTCATAAAAGAGCCAAGGTTGCCTACCCTGGGATAGGGCATTTTCTGACATTCAGTAGGAATCTGCCATCCTATAATTTCCGCATATTATTCCATATCCTGCATTTTGGAATACTGTAGCAGAGGCCACAATAATTGGTATGATTTCCTTCCAGGTATTTGAAGACTGCTATCACATTCCACTTCTACTCCCATGCCTTCTCAAAGCTAGCTATTGCTAGAATCTTCAGTTTTTCTTCTGCAGACCTGAGTTTTTTAATCCCTCAATCATCCTGATTATCTGAATTTGTTTGTAACTGTGGTGCCCATTTACTACATACAATCCTTGAGAGTCAAATTTCAGATATTTGAGATAGAAATATCACTTCCTACCATTAAAAAAAATATTCCTCTATTAATGCCATCTAACGTTGAATTTTCCTCCCAAGAAACCACATTGTTTGTTAATTCATAGTGAATTGTAATAAGCTGGTATTCCAAGTTCTGTTTCATTGAAAATACTGTTGCCAAGCCAGGTATCTGCCATTCAGTTTGGTGCATTTAATTTCTATTTCCTAAGTGAAGAACTGCGCATTTTTCTGTTATTTTCAGGCCATTTCCTTAAT